AGAGGTTTGACAGGTTGTGCGGTTGTTAAGCAATGTCATAAAACAATATGTGTAGTACTGTTTAATGAGAAACTATTTGTTCTGTAAACCTTCACCTGAAGTACAATAAAAAAATTTTTTTAAAAATTAAAAAAAAAAAAGAACAACCTGAGGCAGCTGTTGGGGATACTCTATCCCATTCTCTCACTTTTTCTCATTCCTATTATTTTTGTCCCTTTTTGGTCTTCTTTAACCTTTCTCTTTTCCTTCTTTGTCCTACTCTTCTCCCGTTTTATATTAAGTACTTTATTAAGGTATAATTTGCATGCATTAAAATGCGTAAAACACAAATACACAGCTCAAAGAATTTTAATGAATGTCAAAGCTATCACCCAGATCAAGATTTCAGTGATTTCCATCACAACCGAAAGTTCTGTTGTGCCTCTATCATTGCTCTCTCCCCGCCTAGCAATTGTTATTCTGATTTCTGTTTTCCTTCTCTTACTTTTATTCATTTTCTTCAAGTTACTATCATGCTTCAGGTGGGCCAGTGACCACAGGCACTGTCTCGTTTCATAGCTGGCATCTGGGAGCTACAGAGGTTGCTAATTCCCAGCTGCTGAGTATTTTCTCTAAGATTATAACCTCAAGGCAACAAATACTTATTGAGCACCTCCTAGAAACTCCACACCATACTAGGCACTGAGTTATATACAAAATTACATGGCATGATCCCAAATATAGAGAAACTGACATTCTCTAGTTACTGGAAGGTAAAGAACAGGATCATTTACTTGTGCCCTCCCTACCACCCAAGTTGTTTTAAAAAAATGCTGAATTCACAGTAAGCTCTTAATATTTAACAATGCAAGAAATGAAGACCTCTAAAATCTGTTTTTGAAATCATCAGTTAATAAAATTTTATTGAAAATCTGCAGTGTAGCCTCTCTGAAGAATTTACAACTACAATCATTGCCGTTTGTCAGGGATAACTTACATGAGAGAAACTCTTTTTAGTCTTGAGGTTTTACATGCTTATGTGCTTGTTTGAGGAAGGTTTAGTTTTTGAAAGGTAATTCACTTGTTTCAAATTTTAGAGACTTCCAGAAGTATAGTGATATGTCTCCCATTCACTTCTTTCTCCTCCGAGACCCAGTTCTCCTTTCTCAAGGGAACCAGTGTGTATCCTTACAGAAATATTTATATGTATAAACAATGGTAGCATTTCATTAAATAAAAGACCATTCTTATGTTTTATACCATTCTGTATTTAGCCAGTCTCCTATCTGAAATATTGAAATTAATTTCTCTTTTTTTTTTTAATTTAAAAGGGAATGAGTTTTATTGTTTCTTTTTTCTTACGTCAAAGACAGGCAGAAAGGAAGTTATGAAATCCATAGAATTTAAGGTGAATAAAGTAGGTTTAATTTAAATTTGTGGCACTTTGGAATAGTTATTGTTGTGGTTAAACCAGTCCATTGTAGTCTATACACCAAGTTTTTTGTTTGTTTTTTATTTATTTTGTTGTTGTTGTTGAGACTATACACAGCAAAATACACACCAATTCAGCAGTTTCTACATGTACAGTTCAGTGACTGATTACATTCTTCAAGTTGTACAACCATTCTCAACCTCCGTTTCCAAGTTGTTCCTCCTCCATTAACATAAACTCACTGTCCCCTAAGTTTCCTATCTAATCTTTTGAGTTGCTGTTGTCAATTTGATCCCATATAGATAGATCTAGAGAGAGCACAGTGTTCAAGGCAGACATTCTTTACTAGTTAAGCTAAGCTTTTTTTGTTTGTTTGTTTTGTTTTTTTTGTTTTCAGAAGACTTCAGGGTATGTTTTTGGTTTAAGATTTAAATGATAGTATTTAGTTTCAGGGTTTCATCCACTTTTTTACTCTTACACACAATGCTGTAGTGAATAACTGTGCATAAGTCAGTGTGCCTTTGTACAAGTAAATTGGGAGGATAAATTCCCAGATGTGGAACGGCTAGTCCAAAGAGTATGTGTCTTTATAGTTGTGATAGATTTAGTCAAGTTTGCCATCCATAGAGCCGGGTACCAATTTACACTTCTACTAGCAATGTACAGGAGTACATCCCTTGACATTCTCTTCAGCCTTTTCATCTTTGCTACTCTGATAGGTGAAAATGGAATCCCAGTATAGTTTTTAATGTGCATTTCACTTATTATGAATAAGACTGAGTATTTTTACGTATGTTCCAAAGTCATTTCTGTTTTCTCTTCTATGAACTATCAATTCATATCCATGGCCCATTTTCTTTCTTATTGGTTAGTAGTATTTTTCTTAGTGATTTGCTGGGTTTTATATAGTAGGAATATTGCCCTTTGTTAGTGCTATGAGTTGAAAATATTTTTTTCCAAGTTTTCATGTGTCTTTGAGTTTACTTTTGGTGGTCTGTATTCAGATTTTTTTCATATAGTATGATTTATAAGTCTTATTTAATGGCTTTTGGATTGCAGGTCATGTTTAGAAAGGAAAACTTTGAGGGGGGGTGTGGTATTGTATTACTCTGAATAGCCACGGCAAACAAAATGGGGAAATGAATCACTTCTCAGCTGAGTAAGGGCTTCACAATATAGCTTTGCTCTTCAGTTTGACATGAATTTTGGGCGTCACTATATTGGCCAAGGTTTTTGTTTCAAACAATAGAAACAGACTAGTCAATTTAAGCAGAAAAGGAAGGATATCAGGGAGCTCAGAGAAGCTAAGCAAAGACTGGAAGAAACAGGCTCAGAAAATAGGCAAGACCAAGGGAGCCCATAGCCAAGGTCTTCCCAAGACCCAGACATGGTTAGGGCTACTGCTGCCACTGGCGTCGCTACCACTAGGAACAGGATCCTAGCAAAATGAACTGACTATCCCCACTTCATTGTATAACTTGTCTCAGATTTATTGTGCCAATTGCCTCAGATTCAGAGTCCCAGATAGAAGCATTCCAGTTGTCCATGAACTCATAAAAATTATAGATGAATGAAACTGAAATTTTAATTTAAACAAAGGCTGGGGAAGAAATGGTTGATACGGAGTTCATTTATTTAGAGTTTCTGTTATATTTCCCTTTAATGTTAAAGTTATAACTTGGTTAAAGTAGGTGACCTACCCAGAAACAGTTTTCCTGTTTTGTTCATTCTAAAAATATAAGATAGTTGAGTAACCAGTTTTACTAGTGCCTTTAGTGATAAATGTGTCCCAAAGGTTCTGGTAAGATGTGTTTTCATTCTCATTCGATTCTGTGAATTTCTTTATTCTGTTCTTGATTTCTTCTATAACCTAGTAGTTTTTAAGCAAGGTGATGTTCAGTTTCTATGTATTTGATTTTTGTTCCTTGCTGGCCTTTAGTGATAAATGAGTTCAGTTTTAATACATGCTGGGATGAGAGAATTCCAGATCTGCCCATTACGGCGTTTTTAGTGTGTTGTAGGATCAGTAATTGTGCATTTAGCACAGTTCTGTTCAGTATTATTCAGGGTCTACAGTTTCTGTGGAAACAGATTTAACATTGACCAGAATTCTCTTGAGTTTTTTTTTTTTTCCATGCGGTATTTTTCGTAATGAAAGAGCCTCGGCTTTTATTATTAATCTAGTTTTATTCCGTAGTCAGTTCTGCTACAACGTGACCTATGTGCTCCTGCACTAAAAAACATAAGATTTATGGGAAAAAGATTAGGGGCACAGTACTTGAAAACTTCATGAGTGACATTAAAAAAAAACTAATAAAAATGGCAGCACAGTTTTACACATAATAAAAGGTTAAAAGAGAAAAACATAAAGGTTAAAATAAATATGACATTTTACCTTGAAAAAGGCCTAGAGTTTGCTTGTGGGAAGTGGGTGTCAAAGAGTTACAGTTTGTGAGTTATTGTGAAGTGGTTACTGGAGTCACCTGCTGTTTGTCAGAAAGTTTTAACACCAGATGTGGATGAGTGCTGCTCACAACATACAGTGAACCTGAAGTAGCTGGAAATGTTTTGGCGTTTTTTGTATATTCCTATGAGGCTGGGCTTAGCTGGGTGCTGTTGTCTGCGTTCACCTGTGTTTATCATGGACAAAATTCACATTATGCTCACATTACTCCCTAATATATCAGTCCTGTTGGAGCAAATTTGCATTTTTATAACAAGCATTGTAACAGAATTGACTTTTTACTAGAACAACTCAATAACGTATATTTTAAAGTGAAATTAACATTAAGAGAAAAACTACTAAAGATGTTTTGAATTCATAATATTAAAGAAATTATTTTAAAATTGTTTTTCTTTTAACATAAGCATGGTTTATGTTTGCACTGTATGTACTTTAATTTATAATTAAGTTGGGATGATGTCCCAATTTGAAGGGTTTAAGAGTTTGACATCGTGCATTAAGAAAATGGAATAATACTATCCTGTGCCTCTGATTGGTGGGTTGAAGCCCTTATTGCAGGTTAAAATCAAAGCTTTAACTGAAAATTCTACTTCTGGTATTTATATCTTCAACATTGCCTGCATGTCTCTTGGCAAAATTTGAGTGCTGAATTTAGATGTTTCTTTTAATACCTAGTAAAGCGATTTTTCTGAAATTTCACTAAGAAAGTCAGATTTTTTTTTGGAACGGAAGGCACAAAAACATTTGCTAACCTGAATCTTCATGTATACTGATATATATAATAAACTAATCATTTTATGTTTGAAGGAGAGGCCAGCACCCTGGAATTTCTTTCTCAACATTGTAAGAATTCTGGACGTTTAAGATTTTGACTTTAATACTGTATTTCTGTTGAATTAGAGAAAAACATGTTTTGGAAATATTTGCCAAAGGAAATAATTTGAGTAAATTAGTCTTCTCATTGATTTCTAATAATTATAATAATTGAATAGTGTTACTAAGTTGGGTCAGGATTGATTTTTATGTTTTTTAAAGAAATAAATTCTACAACAATTTCATGTGATTAAATTTTCATGTTTTTACTTGTTTATATACCTCCTAAAATGTTATCCAATTATGTTTCAGGTTGCAATAAGGACAATGTCAGAGCAGGCTGTAAAAAATGTGGCTACCGTAAGTATACTAAAAAATAATGTTTAGTACAGTGCTCTTAATGGAATTATTGCCACTTTGGGAATATGATTTAGCATTCTGATTTTTGGGTCCCTATGATCTCAGCCCTCTTATTTAGCTCAGCTTTGCAGTTTATTCAGAAATTTCTCTGTCAGTAATAAATATTCACATTTCTTCTCTGCTATAGACCCAGGTGATAGGGGGCTATATATCTGGTGACTACCATGAAGTACAAGTGCTTAGTAGTAGATTTCGGAGTTTGAAGAATGTGTGTGTGTGTGTGTGTGTGTGTGTGTGTGTGTGTGTGTGTGTGTGTATGTGAAACTCCATTGCCATTCTGTCGATTCCGGCTCATAGCAACCCTGTAAGACAGAGTAGAACTGCCCCATAGAGTTGCAGACTGCCACATCTTTCTGCCATGGAGAAGCTGGTGGGTTCGAACCACCGCCATGGAGAAGCTGGTGGGTTCGAACCACTGCCAACCTTTTGGTTAGCAGCTGAGCCATCAGGGCTCTCTCTCTCTCTCTGTCTCTCTCTCTCTCTCTGTCTCTTTCTCTCTCTCTCTCTCTATATATATATGTATATATTCTAGATACTAGGTAAAAAGGGGATGGCAATGCAAACTATTTATGAAGGAAAGACCTTTTTGAATTTGCTTATTTATCCCTCATTGTAAGAGTGTAATTGATGCCAGAATCTGCTCATGGGCAAAAACTTGATTTAAACAATCATTAATCCCCATTGTGAATAATATAATGGAATGGAAAAGTATACTTAAGTATGTGTAATTGTGTACTGTGAATTTATAGTTATGTACTGTAAACAGACGTTTCCATAGTGAAATGTAACGATTCCTAAAGCTTTGATAACAGCTATAGCACAGTATTTGCTGTTTTCTAAGTTGTTTGGAGTCCATGCAAATTAGCCTGGAGTGTTAGTAATTCTCCGGTTCATTGAATAATTATTTTTGCACAAAATAAGGGTAATTTTAAAACATTTCAATGCAAGAACATGTGATAAGTGAGCACTCAGAGCATAAACCTCCAAAAGAGATAAATCATACACTTCAGAAGAAGTGAAAGAATAAAGCATGGTGGGAGAACCAATTCACATGCCTCTGAGCAAAGGCTATAACCTGGCTCAAGGAAAAAATTTGCTCACATAGAAAAATAGTGCATGTAACCCATTATAAATGAAAACCCCAAAGGATGTACTTATATGCAATAAATACTATAAAATATGTTCTGTTTTTAAGTTTGTTTATATTTATTTCTGCTTTGTTTACTTTCAGTAATTGTAATTTGCATGTTTCATCTCTTTATTCAAGGTTTAAAAACCATGTGTGTGTGTGTGCGTGTGTGTGTGTGTGTGTGTATGTGTATGTGTGTGTGTGTGTGGTTATTAGTTGCCATGGAGTAGATTCTGACTCATGATGACCCCATGTGTGCAGAGTAGAAGTGCTCCATAGGGCTTTCAAGGGTGTGACCTTTTGGAAGCAGATTGCCAGACCTGTTTTCCGGGGTGCTCTGGGTGGGTTGAGACCACCAACCTAGTAGTCAAGCGCTTAACCATTTGCACCACCCAGGGATCCACATATATATTTGTGTGTGTGTGTGTGTGTGTGTATACATATATATACACATCCACATACATATATACAATATTGACTTCAAAATCTGAAATAGATTTTCCTGTCCATCAATATCATATTAATATCAGTTTATTTACTAGGACTTCTTTTAACTTAAGACAGCTAGGAAAGCAATTAAGCTCATTTTTTGAAAAGACGATACTGTTATCTAGTCTCCCTATTGCTATTTTGTTTTAGACATCAGTGGAAGCATCTGTAGTAATTAGAATTTTTTCAGAGAAGCCAAGTCAACAAATGGTTTTGACAGTCTTACCCTTCTGCTGTATTATTCAGATCTTTGATTTTAGTGATTAATTAAACAATTTCTAACTTGTCTCCTGTGGAAAAATTTAGTAAATTTTACTAAAATTTAGTAATACATCTCTGTACCTGTTAGAGATGAAGGTCTTCTCAGTTTTACAAATCTTTGATAGAAACTACATTTAAAAAATTAACTTGTCTGTTATTTGGGGGCCAGAATGTTTGTATTGCTTGTAGAGGTAAGAGAAAGGTCAACGTTTTGATATGATTTTTTTTTAATTTTATTGTGCTTTAAGTGAAAGTTTATAGTGCAAATTAGTTTCTCATTCAAAAATTTGTACACAAATTGTTTTGTGACATTGGTTGCAATCCGCACATTGTGTCAGTTGATATGTTTTTATGCAGAAAAATGTGTGTATTCTTTAGTTAGTTACAGAAGACTGTTGTCTCTCTATTGTTTTAAAAATAATGGCTTATATTGTACAGTTTATACTCAAAGTATTTTAAGACTTGATTGAAAAAATATTTTATTGTTACTCTGCTTTAACAGTGGATATATTGTTTAAAAAGTTTCAACTTCATGATGAATGTGTTACTAAATAGCATGGATCTCTCTTTTTAATGATGGAATTTCCTATGTAAAATTAATTTAGAAGAATGGGTTATTTCCATAATGAATTTTTATTTGGAGTTTTTTTAAGTTGACAACTTCTAAGTACTTAAAGCTAGGACACCAAGTATTTGAACATGGAATAAATGTCTTAAAGAATTATGATAGTTCTCAGAAAATATGCCTGAAAGAAGTCCAGTGCAGTGAACTCGGTGGTTGGAAGTTTAGTCACAGCAGAGCAAATAAAAAGATATCTAAATACCTTTAATGTTTTATTTAGCTTAAAATGTTAATCTAGTCATACAGAGTTGTCTTGTTATCTAGTGCTGCTATAACAGAAATAACACAAGTGGGTGGCTTTAATGAACAGAAGTTTATTTTCTCACAGTTATGGAGGCTAGAAGTCCAAATTCAGAGCACTGGCTCTAGGGGAAGGCTTTCTGTCTCTGTCACCTCTGGAGGAGGGTCCTTGTCACTTCAGCTTCAGCTTCCTGGGTCCTTGGAGATCTCCATATGTCTTGACATCTCTCTTACCCCATCTCTACTGCTTTTGCTTGCTTATTCAATCTCTTTTATATCTGAAAAGATACTGACTCAAGACACACCCACACCCAACACTAATCCTGTCTTATTAACATAACAAAGAACCCAATCCAAAATGGGATTATAACCACAGGCATAGAGGTTAGGATTTACAACACACATTTTGGGGAGACACAATTCAATCCATAAGAAGGGCCATGACTTTTTATTTGCTTGTGGGTTTGCTAATTGGTGTTCTCCATAGTCTTTTTTGTATAAAACACATCTGTAATGCATGTTCTACTCTTTCTAGTTTATTTCTTTAATGATAAACGAGAGGTTAAGATACTTGCAAAGAAGTCTGAGTGCAGAATGCTTCTATCATTAGTTCTCAACTAGGGATGATACTGGCTCCTTGGAAATTTGTGGAGATCTTTTTTAGTTGTCATAACAGCAGGGTAGGCTCAACTGCTAACTGAAAGTTAGCAGTTTAAAGCTACCAGCTGCTCTGCGGGAGAAAGATGTAGCAGTCTGCTTCCATAAAGATTTATAGCCTTGGAACCCTATAGGACAGTTCTACTCTGTCTTATAGGGTCGCTGAGTTGGAATCAACTCGAGGGCAGTGGGTTTGGTGCTTTAATGTAGCGTCTGATCATCCAGATTCCTGAGGGGTAAGAATCAGGATCAACAGGAAGCTGGTTCCTATGAGGTGGAGGTCAGACATTCCTCCACTCTCCAACTTTTTTACCATTTCTGACACCAACTGTTCCCCCCATGGCACTCTCTACTTCTGTGTTGGGTTCAATAATTCTTTACAGTGGCCACACAGAACTCACAGACCATACTTGCAGTTATGTGGTTTATTAGGGAAGTAACAGGTTACAACTCAAGAGACAGGATCAACTTTATCAACCAGGACAGCTCTCAGCTCCTTCTCTGCTGTGCTAGCAAATGTCCCTCTGTCAGCCGAGCACACACCCTTCTCTGCCTTTGGCCTCCCCGCCATTGGCACCACTGAGCCCCTATAGGCCTCTGCCACCAGACCCCTCTAGGCCTCTTCCCTGCTCCAGCAAGTTTACAACTCTTTTAGCTCTGCTAACAATTGCCTAGAGGCACCCCACTCCACCAGCAAGCTTCCTTCCTGAAGGTGCTCAGCTCTCTCTCTGGGCCAGCAAACCCACGGTAGCCGTCTGTTAGTCTCATGGTTCCCATCACTTGTGCTACTGCCCCATTTCTCTGCCACTGGGCTGTGCTGTGCTTGCTGCCATTTTCTCATCTTGCACCATCTTCAGTGTTAGAGATCTGTGTTCTGTGTGTAGGAGGTCCTCAGCACAGGGTCTCTGGGTCCAAAGGACATGTGCCACTCCAGACTCTTCTTGATGGTAGTGAGGTCCCCTTTGAACCTCTGTGGGCTTAGCCCTTATATAAGCCTAGCAGGATGGCAAAACTGACCAATTCCCAAGCTGTATGGCAAGGGACACAATCCTACAGGTGAATTTTCAAGCCCCTGTTTGCATAGTAATCGAGCAATCCCTTGCAAGACTGCGGCGCAGCCAATAATTTTTGACAGAATTGTAAAACCAAGGCCATATGTAAGAGAAACCCAATGCACTGCAAGTAGCTAGGGTCCAGGGATTATAAACATCCTGCAATGTGTAGGACAGTCCTGGACAATGACAAATCGTCTGGCCCAAACTTCCAGTGACACCTCCTTTGAGAGATAGTTACCATTTCTCAAATACTATTAGATTTTTTTCCCCCAGTCTTTTTCAGTCTTCTTGCCAATGCCTAATTTGGCAGGTGCATTTTAAAGCAGTTCATCTAAATCAGCCTTTCCGAAAGTGTAACTTTGTTTCAGTTCTTTTCATATTTTATTGACCTACATGATAATTTAATTAAACAAATTTTGGAACAATCAAAAACAGACTCTTGGTGGAGTAAAATAGCAGCTGATAAGGTAAAATATATAGGCATGAG